TGGTATGCAGTAATTTTTAAAACATGGAAAGTACTGCAAAAGAATCCATAATGAATGAAATATCAATAGTTAGAATCAAGATGAGCATTATATCCTAGCAAAAGCTCACTAAAGAAAAATCTTGATGCAAATTAAAACAAACCCCAGCTGGAGCTTTAGCAAGGAAAGGTAAGGACCAGAAAGCCATTAGGGTGTAATAAATAAAATGTCAGTATCAGTTAGAAACTTGCTTCTGAGTTAATGATCCATTATTAACATTTCCTGATTTGTTTTTAGTGAGTTTTTAAAAGCTTGAAACACATCAAGCATCTCAAGCAACAGGTTGCAAAAGAAGAGCAAATCATAAAGGGAAAAAATAAGGTAGATTTTAGAAATGTAGGCCCAAATCACACCTTCCTGGAAAGGAATAGGTGCCAATTTGGGGTGGTGATGGTGGTTTAAGGAGGCCCCTCCAACCTGGCAGGGAAACTTCTCTTATGTTTCATCGTTTTCAAAAACAAGGTTTAACTGTAGGTGTACCCAGGAAGTTAAGTGGAGACGACTGTTTTCTATTTTCATCTCAGGAAGGTAAATAATACGAGTATATTCAAAGCAATTCAAATCTATTTCGAGCAAGATAGACACAGAGAAATCACGGATGAACCCAGGATAAGTTTGATACTAGGTTGATTTACCCATCTGGATATTTTGACCAATTGACAAACTGAAGCTTGTTTGGCTAACTTTCCTCAGTAAACAGTCTGAGAATCTATCATCTGCACTGGGATTGATAAAACCTATAATCATTGTTATTATAATGAGAGAGAAAAAATGTGTATTCCAGAAAGCAGATAAAGGACAAAGGCAGCAGCATCTGAGAATATTCCCCATACCACCCAACAACTGCCCCAGCCTCTGGTGACCACCATTCTACAGAATGAGTTTAAATGGGTGAGAGAAGTTGATACATGTTGAATCATTCAACTTTGTAGACATAAATCTGAGGAGCACTTCAACTTTGTTTTTTGCTTGTATATAGGAGTGGCCCAATAAGGGAGTACTTGGGCAATTTTACATACATGATCTAGAGTTTATGAGGGTACTTTAAAGAACATTTATAAATACATACACAGACACTCACACACCCAGTATTAGAAATGATTTAAAAAAANTTTTTAGCTCTGTTTTGAAGTGTTGATACCACTGAAGTAACATTTTTCTCCTTTGAATCTTTTCTTGTAAAATTATAGTTTTCTCTTTTTCTAATACAGCAGGAAGTTCCTTCCAGTTCTTAATAAAGATAAAGGGAGCGCCCATGGACTTGAGTAACTGCAGAGGAGCATTATGGTGCACAGATGTATTTCCACAGCGGCTGGATGTCATCACGTCTTCTACCACAGGGATGGAGCCATAGGAGCAAGCCTCATATATTCTATAACATTCTGTGTTTAGTCCTACTGGGCACAACGTGAGATCACTCTGAAGCAAAGCATCCTGGTAATTCTTAAGACTTTCATTTGTTTCCTGAGGCTGCCACCTAGAAAATCAGAAAAACAACTGTAGTTTTCACTTTATTAAACATGTCTTTTGTGAAAGAAAAGATTTTATCTTTTAATATCAGTTACAGGAAATGGTGAACACATTATAGAGATGATAGGCATAACAGATATCTCAAATCATGACCCAAACAGATTTCTTAAAAATATTTAAGAACTTGAACTTTTTATAGCTACATATGTAAAACATCTAGTAGGGCTGGCTGGTTAGTTTAGTTGTTTAGAGCTCGGTGTTATAATACCAAGGTCAAGGGTTCGGATCCCCCTACCTGCCAGCCACCAAAAAAAAAAAAAA